ATAATACTTTTTTTTTTTTTTTTTTTTGAGACGGAGCCTCAAGCTATCCCCCTGAGTAAAGTGCCATGGCATCACAGCTTACAGCAACCTCCAACTCCTGGGCTCAAGCGAGTCTCCTGCCTCAGCCTCCCAAGTAGCTGGGATTACAGGCACCCACCACAATGCCTGGCCATTTTTTGGTTGCAGCCATCATTGTTGTTTGGCGGGCCCGGGCTGGGGATTCGAACACGCCACCTTAGGTATATGTGGCTGGCGCCTTAGCCGCTTGAGCCACAGGCGCCGAGCCTCATTCACAATACTTTTTCCACTCTCATTTTCTGAAGGTTTATTATCATCTTAAAATAATGGAACAAAAGTATTAAATCAAAATCAACTCTGGAATGGCTTTTTCCTAGAAAACAAAAGCAATCAACATAAAAGACAACTAAATAAATCTGTACCACATTGAAAAATTATGGATAGTATCTTTATTATGTTGCACATTCAATTAAGAAATACTGATAAAACAGAAAGATGAAAAAAGACAAAATAATAGAAAGAAATTAGTAAATCACCATTGGAAATATTTAGATTCTTTAACATTCATTGCTAATGATATTCTAATTAAAATAATTAATCTTGATGAAAAGGTATTATAATTGACACTTTTTTTTTTTTTTAGAGGCAGAGTCTCACTTTATCACCCTTGGTAGAGTGCCATAGCATCACAGCTCACAGCAACCTCCAACTTCTGGGCTTACGCGATTCTTTTGCCTCAGCCTCCAGAATAGCTGGGACCACAGGCACCTGCCACAACACCTGGCTGTTTTGTTTTTGTTGTTGCAGTTTGGCTGGGGCTGGGTTTGAACCTGCCACCCTCGGTATATGGGGCCAGCACCCTCCTCACTGAACCAGAGTACTATAATTGACACATTTTTTGAAGGCAAGAAAACTAATACTTTGCGATTCAATTTAGAAAATGTACTTTGAATCCATTTTTTTTTACACATGCATATCTGAGAAAATAATTCTGCCTAATGTTTTATGAAAAGCTATTTGCTGAAGTCTTATTCAAACTACCAGCAGAAAAAAAAAATGAAGTATCTTGCAAAAGAGAATTATAAGACATTCACTAGGCTGGATATTCAACAGCCATTTATAATGCAGTATTTTATATATCATTCACAAGTGAAAATCCATAGAAAATAGGAATAAAACTTAAAACACATGAACTATAAAATGTGGATATAAAACAGAAAAATCACAAAATAGTCAGGACAGGAAAATTAAAGACCTGCTTTTACTTTTTTAATACTTTATGCAATGTGTGAACCTTTTTAAGGAAAAAGAACATAACAGGTCCCCAGTGATTAAACCCCAAACATCGTATTATTTAATGGTTTCTTTATTGTTGGTAATTACCGAATCAGTTCTAACCTGGTTTTTGTTTGTGATCAGCTTCTTCACTGTTCCAATACCGCTTTAACCACCTCTTGGTGTCTCAGCTAAGAATGCCTGTCTTAGTTCAGCCTGGAAATCCACCACAGGAGCTTGTAGCTGCTGAGAACGCCTCGGGTACAACTGACACCTAGGACAAGAAGCACAATATTTGTAAATGATAAACAGACATTTGTGTATATCTGTAGCCCCATTAGAAAAACAGAAGAGACCCTTACATTTTAAGAAGACCTTCCTTTAGGGTCAGAATATGTCATTACCTTATGAGGAAACAATAACAAAATAGGAGCCCCTGCACACAGATGTGCAAGGATCTGGATATTTCCAAGTAACTAAAAACCCAAGAGCTGGCAGTTCTATAGAAACATTATCAGTATCACATACACTCACATTTTCCAAACATCCTGTGTGAAATAATTTTTTCTCCCTTTGCTAAAGCAAATTTGCTAAAGCAATTTGCTAAAGCTTTTTCAATGAGATTTTAAGGTTATCATTCATACTAATCTCCTGAAAAGTCATGACATAAAACAAAGAACTTCCAGGGCCTATGCTGTCTAAGGACTCTGAAACTGTGTAATCCAACCATTTAGTAGTATGCAGGAAATTCTTGAGACAAGCCCTCAACATACAGCTATGAATTGGTTACCTAGATGCAAAATCTTATCATAAACGTAACAGGAAATTACAATTACTTTGAGGGGAGATATCATTAAGAATTCTGCCCTTTTCAATAAATAAGGACTTGGAAATAGGACTTTTTTCTGCAGCTATTCAAAAGTACTTTTACCATGCTTTTGTATAATAAAGAATTAAGCTAAGGCCAGTTGCAGAGGTTAATGTCTGTAATCCTAGCACTCTGGAAGGCTGACTTAGATGGATTGCCTGAGTTCAGAAGTTCGAGACCAACCTGAGAGCAAGATCCTGTCTCTAAAAAGAAAAATAGCCAGGCGTCATGGCAGGCACCTGTAGTCCCAGCTACTTGGGAGGCTGAGGCAGGAGGATCACTTGAGCCCAGGAGTTTGAGGATGCTTTGTGCTATGACACCACAGCACTCTACTGAGGGTGACAAAGTGAGACTCTGTCTCAAGAAAAAAAAAAAAAAGGCTTGGCACTAGTGGCTCAGCAGTTAGGGTGCTGTCCACATACTCCAAGGCATGTGGGTTGCAACCCAGCCTGGGCCTGCTAAACAACAACTACAATAAAAAAACAGCCAGGCGTTGTGGCGAGTATCTATAGTCCCAGCTGCTTTGGAGGCTGAGGCAAGAGAATTGCATAAGCCCAAGAGTTAGAGGTTGCTGTGAGCTGTGACACCAGAGCACTCTACCAAGGGTGACGTGACATAGTGAGACTCTATCTCAAAAAAAAAAAAAAAAAAGAATCTAACTGGCCTTTATCTCTGGTTCCTAGGATATTACTTCCAAGAACTGTGAATTTACCAAGTAATAGAGATATCTTTGTTATTCAAGATAGGTCCCTAGCATCACACCTAAATTTATGCTAATAAGAACCACAAAAGAAAATAAAGAAATTCCTGAGTAAAAGGACAGGGCTTAAAGCCAGACCTCCAGAGAAGGAATGGCAGAGAATGAATTCAATCACATTACCAATGACTGAATCCTATCTGCCTAGTGAAATACGAACAAAAATCTTGGACATTCAAAGCTATAGGGAGCTTGTTGGTTGGTGACAGCTACTGATGCTCAGGTAATGCATGAAGAGAACAGGAAAGCTTTGGGTTTGGAGCCTTCCCAGACCTTTCTCTATGATTCTGTTCATTTATATCCTTTATACATCTAATAAGTCTAAGAATTTCCTTGAGTTCTGTGAGTCGTTTTAACAAATTCTAAAACCTGGCTCGGCGCCTATAGCTCAACTGGCTAAGGCGCCAGCCACGTACACCTAAGGTGGCGGGTTCGAATCCCTGGCCCGGACCCGCCAAACAACAATGATGGCTGCAACCAAAAAATAGCCGGGCGTTGTGGCGGGCGCCTGTGGTCCCAGCTACTTGGGAGGCGGAGGCAGGAGACTCGCTTGAGCCCAGGAGTTGGAGGTTGCTGTGAGCTGTAATGCCACGGCACTCTGCCCAGGAGGACAGCTTGAGGCTCTGTCTCAAAAAAAAAAAAAAAAAAAAAAAAACAAATTCTAAAACCTGAGAGACTCACAAGAATACCAGAATCTGTAAGTGCCTGTCAGAACTGTGGGTGGCCTGGAAACTGTGGAGCTTACAGTTGGTGCCTGAACTGAAGAGAATCTCCTTGTGGAGATAACTACGCACTTAACCTGTTGGGTCTGCATTAACTCAAGGTAGTAAGCATCAGAGTTACATTACACATACCTTTAATCTCCAATTAATGAAAAATAAAATGGTAGTTCAGGCATTCTCCATTGCAACCTCTTTTGTTAGAAAATGTCAACTGTCTCTGATCAAATAAAAGTCCTAAAAAGTGTTTAAGTCAAAAAAAAAAAAATCTGCTGGGCAGTGCCCATAGCTCAGTGGGTAGGGCGCTGGCCACAGAAACCAAGGCTGGCAGGTTTGAACCTGGCCCAGGTCAGCTAAAACAACAATGACAACTGCAACAATAACAAACAAAGAAATAGCTGAGCATTGTAGTGGGTGCCTGGGGTCCCAGCTACTTGGAAGGCTGAGGCAAGAGAGTCACTTAAGCCCAAGAGGTTGACGTTGCTGTGAGCTGTGATGTGCTAACACTCTACTGAGGGTGACAGTGACTGTTTTACAAAAGGAGGGGCATGGGCAGTGCCTGTGGCTCAGTGGGGTGCTGGCCCCATATACCGAGGGTGGTGGGTTCAAACCTGGTCCCAGCCAAACTGCAACAAAAAAATAGCTGGGCATTGTGGAGGGCTCCTGTGGTCCCAGCTACTCAGGAAGCTGAGGCAAGAGAATTGCCTAAGCCTAGGAGCTGGAGGTTGCTGTGAGCTGTGATGCCACAACACTCCACCAAGGGGGATAAAGTGAGACTCTGTCTCTACAAAAAAAAGGGGGGGACCGTTATCTAGCCATCAGTTCCAGGAGTTAAAAAAATCAAATAAATAAATATACCAACAAACTTCTATTAATATTCATCATTGGTTTGCAGAGTATTCCGTTTATACCGTATGTTGAGTTTCATTCAACTTTCCTTGAATTTTCTGGAGAAGATACTAACAATAACCCAGTCCTTTCAGTTTGGAAGAAAGTAGGAAATGAATAAACATTAAAGTAACACTCATAACATAAAGAATAACAACTAAGTGTCCCTATGAGCACATGAATCGTGTGGCAGGGTCTATCAATCCTGCTTACCTGCTCCTATAATCCACTTTCTCAAAATGAAGAGGCACAAGTGGAGAAATTATACTATATCCCTAAGTCACCTCAGACTCTTCCCCAAATTCAAGATCTTGCTATTTATATACTCTATATAATGAGATAAGAATTTTTTTTTTTTTTAGAGAAAAAGTCTCACTTTATCACCCTCGGTAGAGTGCTGTGCAGTCACAACTCAGAGCAACCTCCAACTCCTAGGCTTAAGCGATTCTCTTGCCTCACCCTCCTGAGTAGCTGGGAGTGCAGGCGCCTGCCACAACCCCTGGCTATCTTTTTGTTGCAGTTTGGCTGGGGCTGGGTTCGGTATATGGGGCTGGTGCCCTACCCACTGAGCAACAGGCCCCTCCCTGAGGCCAGAAAAAATTAAAGTATTTATTCTTCAAAAGTATAAAACAATTTCCAAAGATATAGACAATTAAAGACACCAAAGAATGCTTACTTCATCCCAAAACAAGATGACAATGACGTCACCTGTTGTTTTAGTCCACAATGATGCTATTATATGGGATGAAAACTCTGAACAAAATATGACAAACATGATGGAAAATTCACCCCACTAACATGATTTTCCTCTGAGAGAACCAATGACAAACCTACCTCCACCAAAATCTCCAGATTATCTCTAGGAACTCTGGGAATAACAATGGTACTTTAAAAACCTTGGAGCTGGGTACAATGGCTCAAAAGATGCTGAAGTGGAAGGATTGCTTGAGCCCAGGATCTGGTAGTTACAGTGAGGTACTTACAGTATAGGGCACTCCAACCACTGCAAGAGAGCAAGACTTTTTCTCCAAAAATTAATTAATTAAAATCTTACAGTTACAAAAGACTTAAAGGAGAAAAAAGATATCACCACATCAAAGAAAATGCAAAGTCAAATAGCCTATTATATAAGGGGCAAATTATTACCCCAAAATGTTTATAAAGTATTAATAAAACAATAATAAAATGACATAAGAAATTTATAAAATTTTCTTCCAAAGCAATTCTGAAAATGTAATTAAATTATATACCAGGAATTTACAAATAAAACTAAACAGGGAAAAATCTTCATCCTTGCCAGTAATTTAAAACATACAAATAGGCTCGGTGCCTGTGGCTCAATTGGCTAAGGTGGCAGGTTCGAATCCCCAGCCAAACAACAATGATGGCTGCAGCCAAAAAGTGGCCGGGTGTTGTGGCGGGCGCCTGTAGTCCCAGCTACTTGGGAGGCTGAGGCAGGAGACTC